CAAGTTTCACACCTGGACAATCCAAACAGAATCCAAGCAGTTGGCAATTGTAATGTGATGGTCCCTTCCTCCCAGCTTTGTTCAGCCTTTAATCAACCAATTATCAAGGAGGAATTCTTTGAAGCTATACAATTAAACAGGAGCAAGACAGAATTGCCAGCAAGGTGTGCGCTCCAGGAAAAACAGAAAAATCACAACAAAATTGCACCCAGCTCCTCATGGCAAAGGATCCCGCTCATTGAAAGCTGTAAAGACACTGCTTCCTGGCCTGCAGCTAAAAATATACTCAGACTTTGGTGACAGCTCATTTATTGATTATTGAAAAGGAGTCTTTTTCTGTCATTTAATTTTACAGCTTTTTGTGGTATTGTTATTAAAGCCTTTCTACCATTAGTCAAACAAGGTGTCATACTTGAATGACATGTGTCCCCGGAGCCGGGGGGAGTGGTGCAGGCAGCGGCAGCAGTGTTGGCGTCGGGGGTATGGTGGTGGCGAGCAGGGACCGCTCGCAGCCGCTGTCCACGCTGTTGGCAGCGGGAAGCGGGGACCGCCTGCAGCCGGCGGCAAGGGATGAGCAGTGACTGCCTGCAGAAGCTGGTGGTGGCTTTGGCAGTGGCCAATGTCAGGTAGGGCACGTGCCCCCGTGCCTACCCTACGCGTTGCATATTGCATCATATCAATCCTTAGCTGCACTGGGTTTCAATTTCGCTTTTAACTGCAACAGACACCACACACGGGGGGGGGGCATTTTGAACTCTGGGATCTGACACAGCGGACTATATGTTGTCTCTAAAAAAACTTTGGACTTTCTGTGAGCTTTTTAAATGTTCATTGCAGGGTACAGCTTTTTACCCTCTAATGCAGAATGTGCCAAATGTCTCATGGTATAGAAATATGCCGCTATATCTCTCCCAGTCAGGAGGCCTTTCCTTCCTAGGAATCTCAATATTGTATTCATTGGTTATATGGGCCTACTCTTTGCATCTAGCTATACATTTCCATCAAAAGATCATTGGCAGTAAAAATGCTGTCTGCCAGAACGGTAGGAGAGATGCAAGCTGTCATGGCAGGTCTTTATACATGATTTTCGTAAAGACAGAGTAACCATGCCAGAAGTTCTTGCCAACGTTGTCTTTGATTTCCATCTGAACCAAGTAATACATCTATGTTCTTCCCAAAACCATGCTTCTGCCAAAGGGAGGCTAAACTTAGCAATTTAAAAGCATCTAGTGTGTTCTGAGATGTGATCAGAATTAAACCATTTAAGGTATTCCCTCAGATTATCAGCCGTTCAAGGAGACAACATGAAGAGTCAGACCTAATCTAAGCAGACACTATGATTAAATCTCCACTTATATAAAACTGTGCTATGAAATAGACAACTTTGACCTGTCATGAGAGTGATGGCTCACCCTATGAGAGCACAAGCAGCTTATGTTATTTCTTAGAAAAAAATATTCCAATTCTGGAAACAGGTGAAGTGGTTGCCTGGGTTTACTTGGCACTACTCCACAGTACACAGTGAAAGCATTAAGATCTGATGCTCTTTTCACAGAATTATCTTACAAATGTGATTTAGGCACACTCTTATTACCTATTGCATGTGAGGTATATTGCTGCTGAGTTGTCAAAAACAGAATAAATATATATGTTCAAACATTTGCAGAAGAAGAAAGGGCTATTTCCCCGGGGGAGTTCAAGACATGTTTTTCAAAATATATTCATGTTGTTTCTCAAAACTCTTCTATTATGAAATTAAAACAAATGAGAACTTGGTGATTTTCATCTCTTAAATAACTTTAAAAAACTTCTTAGTAACTCTAAAAGTAAGGAACCATGTCATGCGGGCACCACAAACTCAGGGACATGTGCTGGTACATACATGTCCACACACATGCACGCAGAGCAAAATTGAGCATTTGTGTTTCTGGCTGTTAATCTCCTAGCCTCACTTTCATCTCTTACATAAAGTGAGGCTGGGAGATTAACAGCTAGAAACACCAATGCTAATTCTGCTGTGTGTGTGTGTGGGGAGGGTGCAAGGGCATGGCCTTCAGTTTGTGGTGCTCATTTGACACGGTTCTTTACTTTTAGAGGTGCTGAGAAACCTTCACTGCATTTGGGCATCATCTGCATGCTAGTAGTGGAAAATTCCCAAGTTTGGCAGATGTGAGTTTTTCCAAGGCCACATGGTAAGTTGGGGCTTTGGGACTTGTTGGGAGTTTGGCTCCAAGTCTATTCTGCCGCGCAGCAACATAGGTGGTGAGTGAGAAGATGGATTTGTGAGATGCAGTGAGAAAAATTAGAGAATCCAAAACAAATAAATGAGGCTCTGGAAAAAAACTGGCAGAGAAAGAGGAGACTGCATTCCTTCTTGCACCTAAACGTCCCAGTGAGGTCAAAAGGCTACCATCCTTATAAGTAAACCATTCCAGAAAGGGACACGCTGAAAGTCTTCACTGCTTACATTTTAGGCAGTTATGGAATAAATTTTATTGGGTTCTAGAAATGCTGCAGAGATTCAACCTAAAAATTTAAAATTAGGCCCAGGCCCCTTATGGTTGGCAAAATTTAGCAAGGTCTGTTGGATGCTGTGGTGAAAAATATCAGTCTGCTGCCAGAAAACAAAGTATGACTTCCCCCCAAGTTGGGCATGACATCCAAGATCAAAACCACAAACAGGAAGACAAATTCATTCTCTGTCAGGATCTGCTACTAATGCTGCTCTGCTAATACACTCAGGTCTCTCTTTATGCGAAGGTTGCATTCCAAAAAAATCCTTGCATAAAGCAAATTTGCAAAAAGCGAATCCATTATTACGTGTAATTAATAGGGATATGTACCAGCTGCACTCTACTGACCCCCCAAACCATGACAAATTCAAACAGTAATCACACAATACAATAGCTGCTGCGTGGAGAGGCTGTGAGCACGTGCAGGGGGCAGTGCAGGGCGGGCTGGAGAGGCACCCAGGGGAGGGAAGCAGGGTGGCAGAGAACGCCAGCTGCTCGCTGTGCCTGGCTCCACCCTGCTTCCCTTCCCCAGGTGCCTCTCCAGCCTCATAGGCACAACTCGATGCGGCTGGGAACAGCAGGAGAGAGTACAAGCTCCCTGCTGCACCGGGTTACACCTGCTGGGCTGTGGAGGCACCCAGGGCAGGGAAGCAGGGAACAGTGGGGCCGCACAGAGAAGGTGCTTGCCCTGCGCAGCAAGCAGCAGCTTGTGGAGCAGGTGCATTGCCAAAGCAGCACGGGGTGAGCACCTTCTCTGTGCGGCCCCACTGTTCCCTGTTTTCCTACCCTGGGTGCCTCTACAGCCTAGCGGGCGTGACCCAGTGCAGCAGGGAGCTTGTAGCCTCTCTGTGCAGCCCCACTGGGTCACATCCACCAGGCTGGAGAGGTACCTGGGGCAGGGAAGCAGGCCGTCAGGGAATGGCGGCTGCTTGTCCTGTGCTGCCCTGGGGACATGCCTCCTGTGCCTGCTGCTCTTTGGCAGCGGGATGCAGGTGTTGGGACCAGGCAGGGAGAGGAGCTGAGCTGGGCCCAGGATTAGGGCCAGGGCCCACTGCACCCATGCATCTGCACCTTCCTCTTCCCCTTGGAAGTGTGTGCGGCAGCGGGGAGCTACCAAGAAGCCACTGGAGGGTCCATCCTGCTCTCTTCTTGGGCCCTGCAGCTGCGCACTGCAGCTCTAGACCCCATGTACCCGCTGGCTGGACAGCAGCCCCAGGCCTGCCCAGCTCCCTCCCTACAGGGACCTCAATCCCCCTCTTCCCCCTGTTACCTGCCAGAGCTGCCCTCGAGGCTACTTGGGGCCATGTGCATGTACTTGTACATGCACATGGTGTCCCCTGTCTTGTCACCTCCCTTCTGCTTCCTCCCAGCTCCCTGCTGGCTGGAACTCTGCCAGCCAGCAGGGAGCTTGTTTCTGGGCAACTTCGCATAAGATTGGATTTTTCTTGCACAAAGCCAATTAAAGGTATAAATTAAGGTCATTGCATATAAGCGAATTTGCACAAAATGAATTTGCATAAAGAGAAACCCGAGTGTAGATCAACAATCATATTCTCTTAGCCTCTTTCACTTGGAGTTTAATAAGAGTGGTTTTTCTGCTGTGGAGAACTCAGAAGGCCCGCAACAGGTCCCAGTGTGTTTGATGCTACGGATTCTGGCTTGAAACCTCTGGGTTTAATCTTGTGAATCACTGTTTGCACATTCAACATTACAAACTTTCCATAGCACCCTTGACAGGCTCTCAAGGCACCCCAGGGTGCCACAGCACCTTAGTTGAGAATCACAGGTGTAGAAACTGTTAGAACACCTTATGGGACACTTCTTCTTAGTTGGGCTCTCTTTGATGTGAGGGATGACAGCATAGCCTTTGCTGTTAATGAGTTTTAACCATCCCTTGTGTGCTGAAGTTATTTTTGAATGCAATTAACTTGACAAAATGAAAACAGAAAAACATTTTTCCTGGATAAGAGCCTCTGCGTACCCCTCCAGGGGCACAGCTTCCCTTTCCTTCTGCCATCGGCTTTTTGCCAATACCAGGCGAGCATCCACTGGCACCACCTAGCCCAGCGGTTCCCAAACTCTGACAGATTGCGCACCATCAACTAAAAACAATGCGACCTTAACTACCACCAGCAAGTGTTTCAGCTTAACCTTAAGTGCCCCCAGCCAATTTTTGTCATATAAAGTAATGATAATAAATCGGTTTACGCACACCATCGACAGATTGTCTGCATACCACTGGTGCTGCCTGTACCACAGATCGGGAACCGCTGTCCTAGCCTTTTTTTCCTGCCCGTCCTTCCGCAGGTGCCAGAACAAAACAGGGCCAGACCAGGGGCTGCACATTTTGCAAACGAAGCGACTGCGGGGACAGCCCCGCTCGGCGGGACAGCGAGAACCAGAGCCGTTCAGCTGCCTCGCCGAAACAAGAGGCCCCCAGGACTTTGCTTTTCTTCTCTTTCCAGCGGCGGGCTCGGTTTTCCTTACTTCGAGAGACGACACTGCACGCTCACAGGGAGAGGAGAGACAGAGGCTGAGGTGGAGCCTGCTTCTCGGGCTGCAGCGGGAAAAGAACCGGCGGGGCAAGGACAGGGGCTGCAACATCACCGGGGGCATCATCCACATCCTCCCTGCCCTTTGTCTGCACGCGGGGCTCCCCGCAGGGGGGGGAGGGGGCGCC